CCCAAAATGTGAGCCCTCACAATAAGAATGACCTATTGTCACTGTTGTGCAGGTGGCAATTAAGCACTACAGCAGCCACTCCTCATCACCCTCCCTGCCTCCACCAGTGCAATGGGGAGGACAATCACCAGTAAAACTTGTAGGTTGATATAGGAAGAGCTAAATAACTAAAAAAAAAAAAAAAAAAAAAGCAATAATGATAACAAAACCAAACCACAACAAACAAGTGATGCACAATGCTCACACCCACTCACCAATGCCAGACTCCATCCCCAAACCCACATCGACTCTCTTGGGTAACTACCCCAGTTTATATACTGGGCATGATATTTTAGGGTATGAAAACATCCCTTTGGCCAGTTCGGGTCACCTGTCCCAGCAGTGTTCCTTTCCAGTTTTCCTTTTGTGTGTCTCCTCACTGGCAGAGCATGAGACACACACAAAAAAGTTTTTGACTTACGGATGAGCACAACTTCGCAAAAAACAAAAGCTTTCAGTGTGTTATCAACATTATTCTCATGCTGAATCAAAACACAGAGCTGTACTGAGAAGAAAACAGCTCTATCTCAACCAAAACCAGAAGAAGCATTAACTCAAGACTGCAAAACACAGACTGCATCTTTTTTTTATATATTTTCAATTTTATAAAAAAATTGAAAACCAAACCAAGAAATCTTTAAGCCGTTCCAGTACTCTCAATCCCTTATTATATTTTACAAAGAAGGAGGAAAAATTGCCCTAAAATTATGTCCTTCAAACATAACCTGTAACAGCTCTTTCAATAAAATTGAAAGGGACTAAAAGACCTCATTGCATCATCTATATATGGAACTTACTGTAATCACTGGGAACCAGCTTCTTTCTCTGGAAGTGGCTCCTAACTCATAGCTCATCCATTTCCTGGCTTGTCCTGCAACTGGGTGAGATCCAGGCTAGGGCCCATCAGCTGCAGGCATTCATTCACTGAGGCTCACAGCATTTTCCCCACGCTCTCAGAAGAAGCAAGAGCACCTGTGAGTAGCAAATTACCAGCACTGTTTCCAGAGACTGTTGCTGCAGGTTTTCCTCCTGGAAAGGAGGGAAGGGAAAAAAAACATTCACATCTTTCTTAAGGGCCAAGAAGTGAACTGCAGTACCTTTGGTTATGGTAGTGACTTGGCACTGCTTTGGGCTCCCCTCCTTGCAGCAGTGTCAGCTGTGAACTTGCACATCTGCCACACCTGGTCATTGCAAAATGGTGACTACTCTTCCAGGAAGTGCCAAAGCCAAACCTGCTCAAAAATCTCTTCCTCTCTTCACAAAAACACCAATCAGAAGAGGCTTTTCTTAAGAGAGAAAACAGAATGTGCTTTTACCTCACAAAAATCACCCACAAAACCAAATAAAGAGCCCCCCCAACTGAAAGGACAGTTGTGGTCAAGACAGACACTACCCCACTGGTCCTCTCAGGACAGCAGCCCCCAAACTGATGCCCTCACCCAGCTGTGTCAGATCCCTTAGGCACAGCTGGGAAGGGTGTGAGATGGTGGAGATGTTTGACAACAGCTCTGGGAATACTGTTTGTCAGGGCTTTACGAGCATGCTGGTGAGGAGGATCACAAAAGATAAAAGCTGGGCAATAACATGCTCCCCCCTCAGCTTTGAAATAAAAAAAAAAATGATACTAACTGTATCAGTGGAGTGAGAAAACCCAGAGTTAGGCTAGAACCCAAGGGCAAACTCAGAAATGCACAGGGTTGAGGTTGTTCAGTTAGAAAAACATAGGTTTCACCTGTGTCTGGCCTCTCAGCCTTGCTCAGGAGCAGCAGGAAGACAACACTACTTATTGGCTACCTTTAAAAAAATTACCCAGAATATGTGTTGCTTTGGGGTGTTTTTCCACTGTAAATCATGCTGATATGTTTGGAGGAAGAAGCTATCTACCCCAAAGGAATTATTGATTATTTTAAGCATTCACAGCACCAGCTGCTCCTAACTCTCAACAGCTAAAAGGGCTATGAGTGGGAGGCTTAGGCTGAGGCAATTGGAAGATGGTTAATATACTGTAAAAAGCAAATGTAGTGACTTCCAGGCTGCCTGTTGGTTCTTATGACAAAATCAGATCTGTGCCACCTGAAAAGTGTTCCTGAAGACATCTGATCTGTTCACTAGTACAGAGCCAGAAGGGTTCTTACTTACAGCAATATTTACATTGGGGTGCAGCTCCCCAGGCTGGAGGGAGCTGGCAGTGTCCTTATCTGTCCAGGGAAAGCTCTCTCACCTTGACCGAGCACAGTGCAGCAGAGGGACAGAAAAGACGCTGTTTCACAGCATCCCACTTGAACGTTCCAGTCATGCCAACCACAACCTGTCCTGAACCCATGTGTGTGAGATGGAGGAAGCTCAGGCTGACTGGGGTTCAATGGGATAGGAAGTTTTGGTTCTCAACACTTCATAAGGCTTTTGCCCTCCCATCAAGGAAAGGAAGAATGATTAGTTCATTATATGATGCCTACTGACATATAATTAAATAATGGATCTTAGACAGCAGTAGCTATTCTGCACTGAGACAATGCAATGACTTATTGGAAGGTTTCCACCACTTTCTGAATCTCCACAGGCATTTTTGCTTGTGGAACCTGCTACTGGGCTCAATTTTCTACTATAACACATATTAATGAATTAAATAAGTAGTTTTATTATGTTTAGCTACAATTTTTAGATACTGAAATCCAAGAGTTTTCTTTTAAACTGAAAAAAATACCGAGAGGCAAGCAACATGCAAAAGGAACAGAAGTTACTGCTGGTTTGTAGGAATTAACTTCCTCTGTCTATTCTAAAACCACTTGTAAGATTCCTGGGCATTTCATTTGAAAGCGTTCAGAACACTAAGGGCATAATTTCTCATTCAAAGAGAGCAGAAAGGTGGCAATACTGAAAACAATAAATCTTGACGTTACCATTTCGTGAAGGCGATACTGTTCCTAGCAGACATCAGTTATATGACTCCAGAGAGTCCAGTGGCTCTTATCATCCAGCCCAAAAATCAGTCATTTGGGGATGAGCTCATCTCAGGCCAACTTCCAGTTACCATGTACAATGACTTTCCTAACATAAAAGATCTTAGCTGCATGATCAGCTTTGTTCAAATAAATTCTTTTGGGGAAATAAATAAATAAATAAAATGTATCCAGCCATTTCCCAAGTTGTCAAATTCTTCATTCTAGGAGCAGGTTCTTTCTTTTTCAGAGTTGGCAGCCCTACAATTCCAGCCCCTCTTACCCCATACTGCATTTGCTGCAGCTGTGCATTCAAATTTATTGAATTTTTTGCCACACTTCAGACTCTGAACAAAGCAGCTTTCAGCCTCACAAGTAAGCTTTAACATACTTCAGCCCCTAATGAGTGAATCACACTTCATTGCAACTGGAGATACTGATTGTAGTTAATATGAAATCATGGAGCAGTTTAAAGAACAACATTAAGAGTCCAGGATGCTCATTTATAAACTCACATTCCCAAAAGTGAAACAAAAGGAAAATTCAGCTAACAGCTCAACTACTAGCATTTCCATCATTGTTAGAAGAGGGAAAAATGACAACAAAAAGTGGCTTTGACATCAATCCAGCATATATTAAATTTGGCAGGAAATCCGCAATTGTTGAGGCAGATTTACTTGAAGATGTTAATGAAAACTGGTAATATGACAGAACTACATGCAAACTCAGCTAAAATGATATGAAAATGCATGTATTTCATAGCTATCACTACAAATGACTCTACACTTGCTTAAATGAAATTGAATTAGTCTCCATAAATTTTCATGCCCCATGCTTTTGTCTCTGGCCTTTGAGCATAGCTACTTCACAGTTGCCTTATTTTGGTTCTTTTTTTTTTTTTTCGATGGCAGAAAAAATGCATTTAATAAATAAATATTTTCTCAAACCATCTCCCCAGTCATTCCTGAAGTTTCAGGTGAAAAAAAGGAAAAAGGTACTTGGAAAAGCATGGAGCAAAACAAAATGCAGCACATGGCTACATCGTGCAACTAATATACAGAAAGGCTTAGCTCACAGGATTTAATGGACGTCAGCACAGACATCATTTGGTGTAAACAACTGACGTCTTAGTGAAATTTGTAATACCCAATTTGTGGCACTAAACGTTGTTTTACTCCTCTAAGTAAATTCAACTGAACGTGTTCCTACATATTCAAACATTCATTTGCAAAATACTTATAGAATCACAGTAAATGCTCAGGTCTGACTGTTGTTCTGGGAAGCTGGATAACAACAATACAAGAGCAACAGTAGGTGGTCGAGACACTGTAAGCCTGGTAGACTTACCCTTCCTTTTCCGCCCCTAATTTCTGTGCACATGGCCTCTCCAGCCCCCTCCTCGCCTCTCCCAACACACAGAGGTCGGAAGAGCACCAGGCATGGCCATAGCCCGGAGCGGGGAAGGATGCAGCGGGCCCCGGGGATGGGAGGCAAGAGGACGCTGACAAAGGATGCTGTTTCTGTGCTCCCTCCCTCTCTCTTTTCTATTCCACCTCGCACACTGGCAGCAGCTCGAAAGGTCGGGTGTATCTGAATTATTGCCTAGGAGGGGATGGAATAGCTGAGTCCGTGCACAGACCCAGCCGCGCCTCTCCGGTTCGCCGGGAACCGAGGCAGCCTCTGCCCACGCCGCGGCCGCCCGCACCGCCCCATCCTCCTCCCGCTGTCCCCGTCTCTCTCTGCCCGGCAGGACCGCTCCCGGCACTGCTGCCATCTGCCCCCGGCAGCCACGGGCTCGTCCCCGCCTGCTCCGTCCCCTGTCTCCGCCGCCTCGCCGAATCCGCGGCTCTGCGTTTTCCCTGGAGCCGAGCTGTCGGCGGCTGTTCCGAGGAGCAAACGTGTGAGCGGCACAGGCTCCCCGCACGGTGACCACCAGCCCGCCATCCTTACCTTAGGGACACCGAGACCGCAGACACCGCCGGGCTTGGACAGCCCAACGCGAAGCCACCAAGGCGCAAAGGCTACCTCAACACAAGAGTCCTTTATTCAAATAAATAAAAATGAACTTTTATGTACAAATATACAAAACCATTACGCACATTTTATAAAGTAGTCAGAAATCTTTAAAAAAACCGCGAGGGTGGAGGCAGGACGCTCACAGTCGGTGCCCTCCCTCTCAGCACCCGGGCACCGGCGGGCGGAGGCCGGCGCCGCTCCTTTGTCCCTCGCCCCGGCGGCAGCGGCGCCCCGAGGATCGGCTCCGGGCCGGGGGCTGCGCTGCCCGGCCCCTGCCGCCACCCGCCCGGGCTTCCAGGGCACCGACAACACCACACGGAACACGACATCGCCGATGGCGGCCCCACCTCCCCCCGGTCCGACCGCTCCGGCAGCCCCGGCCGTGCCGCTGCCCGGTCCCGGCGGCGCTCAGAGGGTGCCCAAGTGCGGCAGCGTCTCCAGCCGCTCGGGGTGGTCGCGGCCGGCCGCGCTCTCCACGCCGCGCAGCCACTCGGTGCATTTCCGCACCAGCCCCTCGTCCGCCGCGGCCCCCGCCTCCTCCTCCTCGTACTCCTCGTCGTCGTAGCGGTGCCGGTCGTTGAGCAGCGAAACCTTCAGCAGAGCGCGCAGGTCGCCGCGCCGGGCCGGGGCAGCTCTGCCGGCGGGCGAGGGTGCGGGCTGCCCCCGCTGCCGCTCCAGGCTGCGGCGCTGCAGCACCCGGATGGCCTCCGGGGGCAGGCTCAGCGAGAAGCGCCCCGCCGCCTCCCCCGGCGCCCCGCCGAGGCTCTCGCAGGAGCGGCTGCCCGCCCCCGGCGCCCCCGGGCGGCCCCGCGGCTGCGGCGGGGTGGGCTGGGGCCGCGCCGCCCGCTCGGCCGGCGGTCTCCGCGGCGGCGGCCGCTGCAGGGACGAGCAGGGCCAGGAGCTGGAGAGGGGGCCCGGCCGTTCCGGGGGCGCCCCCCGCGCCTTCCTCGCCGCCTTCTCCTCTGCGGGCCGAGGCGCTGCTTTCTTGGGGGCCGAGGCGGCCGCCGGCGGCTTCTTGGGCTGCGCCCGGGCGGCAGCGGGGGAAGCGGAGGGGGTCGGCAGGATGGCCGGCAGGAGGGGCGGCAGCGTGGCGGGGCGTCCGGGAGTTCCCTCCGGTTCGTCGCTGCGGGCCCAGGGAGGAGCGGAGCGCGCTCCGGGCAGGGCGGCGCTTCTCCCCGCGGGCGGGCAGGGCCCCGCGGCGCGCCGGGGCTGCAGCCCCATGGCCAGAGGCGGACGAGCAGCCCCAGCCGCCGGCGCGGAATGCGAGCGAGCTCTGCGCCGGCAGCCGCCGATTTTCCCTCTCGATAACCCGTCCCCCTTCCCGCCCTTCGCCCGCCCCGGGAACACCCTTCTCCGGCGCGGGGTGGGCGTGCGCGCGGGAACGGGGGTCGTGCCGGCACTGGCCGCCCTCGATGCGGCGCTACTGCCGTGCCCTTTGCCGCTCCTCTCCCCCCCGCCCTACAGCAGAGCTGGAGGGCATGACGGGGCTCACGCCCCGAGGGCAAAAAGGCTCTAAATTCCTCCCGAAGTCCTCAAGCGTCAAAGCGTGAAAAGGAAATATTTTAAAATCATGTTAAACTGTCTTGCCGTCTTACAAACATGAATGATTCTTTGAGCTCCTTGATTACATGAAGTATCGTGAAAAAGGGCAGGCAGACAGGACAAGAGACAGACACACTTAGATCCAGGGCTGACTCAGACACTGTGGAGAAGCACTGCCTGCTTTGGTAACGAAGAGTATAGTCTAGAGATCCTTCTTCTAAGCGTCAATGCCTTCTGTGACAGAGCTAAAGCACATCCCCCCGGTGGAGTTTTTTTGTTTGTTTGGGGTTTGGTTTGGTTTTTTGTGATGTCCAAGACAGAAATTTCCTATCTTTTCAAGTACCCTAGCCAATAACAGGCAGTGGGAGAGGTTTCATGGACCAGTAACAAGTAAACATTATTTCCTATGGATGTAAGATGATTACCACCACTCCAAAATTTAGCCTTAGAAGTCATGGCATATAATTTCTATAGCATTTACTTCAAAGTACTGTTTTAATTAGAGACCAAAACTTTATCAAAACTTTACCAAAACTTTATCAAAAAATGGGCAGCATGTATGCAATCCACAGGGACAGATCTTCACACCTATGGTTCCACACTATCACAAAGGATATTACTACACTGTGAAGATTCCCCAGCTGTGAGCTCTTGGAATACTCACACAGAGTAAACAAAGACAGGATGTGAAGAAGCAAAAGATACAGGGAAAACAACACAGACTGTGTGCTCTGTATGCAGATGGAGGAAGTAAACCTTTAAATGTTCAAGAGAGAAAAAAAGCCAAGGAAGGCACATGTTGTAACAGACCAAAGTGCATATGAAAGCATACCAGCACGTGGAACTTTCGGTTCTTGAACCCATTCTCTCCCGGTGATCTAAGAGATGAGTGGTAACTACTTCATTTACCATAGTGGACAAATAAATAAATTTTGAATAACCAATGTCATTCTAATTAAAGACTACAGTGAAGGTGATTGTGTAACCACCAGAACTGGTTAGTGAGGGGCAAAAGCAGCTCTGGAGCAAATGAAGGCCTGGCCCTGAAGCACTAGTGGGATGGGGTGGGATCTCCCCAGTCAGCTGAGGTTAGCAGCAGCGACTGGGGAAGGTGCAGTCACTTCCAGGATGATCACTGCCTACACAAATCCTACTTCAATGAAAGCTAAAATCTAAAAGGAACTAAAAATTCACTCAAGGGTGCCCCAGTATCCAGGGCTGGAATAGCTGTCCCTACATCACATAGCACTAGTGAGCCCAAGAGCCTGCTGTGGGGCCAGACTACCTGCCCCCCCATCACCAGCAAGGAGGATGCCTCCCTAGCAATTTACTGTTACTAAACAGTTAAAAGGTGTGGCTTAGTTGGAAGTCCAGCTGCAAAATAATGCAATCACCCTGTACACAGCTTCCCCAAAAGTTGTTGCTATGTTTTGCAACATACACTGAGATTTAAGAGGAACATACTGTACCTCAATTTGTCTCTTCAGCCTGAACTCTGAATACTAAAAACACTGAGGTTTTCCCCTTCCTGACACTGCTGATCACATCTTTTCGAAGCCATTCCTTCTAGATTTGTGGATCAAGAGAAAAAAAAATTCAACTCAATTTTGAATACACATAAGTAAGCACATGCATCCTGTGCAAAAAAGAACCTCCTGCAATATAATATCAACCATCAAACATTAAAGATTTAACTTTGCTCCAGAATAATTGGTTAGTTCTTAGCTGAAAAAATTAGAAATGCAAACCTCTTACTGGAGCCAGGCAAAGTGTTAGAGTACTTCAGTCTATTACCAGATTAAGTCAGAATGAACAGCTTGTCTAAATACTAAAAGAACCTTTAAGATCACTTCTGCAGATCAATTAAACAAATTTGGATATAGTCATATACACACATTTATGCTTTCATATTTATTCAAGTGTAATGCTGAAATTTCCAGCCCTGTGTAGCTGATTCCTAAATAAAAATGCATCAGGCACTTTTAAAATGAATTTATTTCACAAGTCTCATTTATACATTAGCCATAAGTTCTTTTAGTAAAAAGTATTTAGGTATGAAAGTATTTTTAAAAAAAAAAAACACTTAAAATACAACTTTTTTAATAAAATCCAACAGGTTTTAAACATACCTTTCACATTCTCATCAAGTTTTTTCCATAAGGCACATGTATAGACATTTCAAAGGAGCAGTTAATTACAACCTTCCAAATCTTTACAATGTTTATAAAACTCTGTCTTTGGTAATGCATACAATGGATAATATACAAACATAAATGGCACATTGCAAGTCTCAGACAGAACTGTAAATGAAATCTTTATGCATACTACCCAGACCTTAGTGACTTGCCTCCGCTGGGGAATAAACTGTTTCTGGATACAAAGTAGTGTTAAGACTACTCTGCATGAAGTATTTAAATGTACTTTCTTGTTAAAAAAAGCCTGGAAGTTCCAGAGTAAACAAAAATAATTCTCCAAATTTATTTTAAAAACTGTTTCTAATAAAAATTATTTAATCTCCCAAGGCAAGGAAAATACTAAATTGCTACTGAGTATTTCAGAAGTGGAAAAGTAGAGTTTTTTGAGCAAAGTTTACAGAGGAAAAAAGTTGCCTTTTAAAGCGGACAGTGGTTCCTGGCTTTAATTTACCCTAGACAGGACGAGAAGCATTTAATCACAGCATCCCTTTAAAAAAGAAAAAAAAAAGTCAGTTAAGGTATTTGTTATTTTGTTTATATACATCTAAACCATTACAATTTATTTCCATTACCATTATTTACAATTACAAATACGGCAGAAACTAGAGACATGTATCAACAGCAGATCAAATGCAGGATCTGTGTTGGAGTGTCTCCACCAAAGCAGTAAAGCCTAAAGCCCAGGCTCAAGCCTGGTCGGTACCCAGGGCTTTCCATGCTGCTTGCATTGCAGGCCATGCTGAAATGCAGACACAGCTGCCAGTGCTCCAAGCCACATCGGAGCTGGACCATTACACTGCAGGAAATAAAGCACAGGCTGAAGGGTTTGAAGTGTGCACTGACACTGCAGGATGGAGAGAGCTGCTTCAGCCTTAAGATTTGGAAGAACTGGAGAGTTCCATTTTTTCAATCAACAATAAACTGTTTTCTGACTGTTACATTCAGATCACTCGCTTTAGTCATCTTTAATTTCCCTTTTCCCAGAAAAGTAACAACTTACTAAGGAGTGGAATTTGCATTCTGTTGCTAGTCAGTTTCAAAAACAAAGAAACATACTATCATCACTGCTTAAAGTCACTTAGCTGTATGGGTTTTGGCTTTGTTGCATTTGTTGTTGTTTTCATTTTAGTCTGGTTTGGTGGGGTTCTTTGTTGCCAAGCCAACAGGAGAGCTACCATTAATTTAGGAAAAAAACAAACAGAAACCAACACTCCCCACCCCAACAAATCCCTGAACAAGTAAAATTTTCTGAACAGCAAGTCATGAACAGAGTAAACCAAGGAACGATAATTTCATGAAATCAAGAGAAATGCATACTTTAAGCAAATGATATAATACTGTTCTCTGGCACTTAGTATGGTTTAGACCATTGTTCCCATAAGAAAGGCAGTAAGCAAATAACTCAGTAATCCCTAAAGAAATCACAGTATTACTAAAAGCAATCTGTATAAAATTCAGTTCTTTGGATCATAAAATCTAATAGATAAACAAACCCAAAGAATTAACTGATGCATATAACCTAATGTTCTTCTGTCCAGAACTTAGAAGTACTGTTGGTAGGGAGGAAAAAGTCAGAGACTAGAAGCTCAACTTGCTTTCTCTACAGAGAAAGCCATTAAAAAAAAACAAAAAGACAAAAAAGGAATGAACTGAGACTGTCTCATGGCTACTGGAACTGTAAGAGTTCAGAATACTACTTTTGACTGGGTTAGCCTGAATTGTCAGAGATAGTAAAATGACGGTTTGAAGCCTGAGTTCAGTTACTTTATTCACTGTAATTATCAACAATTATCTTAAAAAAATCCTTCCTCGATGAAATCTGAAGCTTTAAAAAAAAGTACAGATTTTTTTGGCAATGCTACAGAAAACTACCAGATGAAAGGGATAGACAGTACTTTGTATTCTTTTTCCCCACGCTTCTATTACAGCCTCATTAAATGATATGGAAGTGCTTAATTTTTTTTAAAAAACCCCACAGTCAGGAACACCAAACTGCATTTGACATGAATCACAGATAAAACAGACTCTTACATTCGATTACTTGCATGTGTTTTCACTATGTGTTTGGTCTGCTTTCATTCCCTTTTTGTACACACAAGAATGAAAGAGAGAAGCTTGCCAGAATGAAAATAAAGGCAAAGCGTTGCCTTTGCCCCTCCTAAACATGATGGAGGAATTCAGAAATACACAGAAAATGCCACTATGTTGTTTGTTTGCTTTTAACTAGGACCTCAGATCCATAAGTTACCTTTAATTTTAGTACCAGAAAAGTCACTATTGCATCACTGTATTGTTAAATCATTGGAGATATTATCTAAACAAAACTTTGATTAATTTTCAGTGGTGGAAACTAGAGAGAAATTTATTAAAGAGAATTACATATTATTGTTTTGTACTTCTATTTAAACCTTATATTAAACATGGCTTTTAAGTTCAGCTATGCCATTTTCTAAAAATTAAAAGGGAGAGTGTTGTATTTTTCCACACATGCAAAGTACTTTTTGCCCCTCCCCAGCATAAAGAGAACTGATTTTTGTTAAGATGGAAATTACGCAGACTCACCTTGCAAAAGGAATATAAGACAGACTATACCTGAAAAAAGAGGAAAAAAAGTATATTTGCAGAGTGTTCATGTCTCTCCTAGAACCAAATTATTTCACTTTAGCGCAGCATTAATAAAAGCAACCTGTTGTAACAAAATTTTAAACAAGATTACCTATTCAATTTAATGCTTACCTGAGAACAGATGATATGTTTGGACAAGAACTAAACCTAGTGATATGGATTTGATGGTTTACTTTTTCTTTGTTTGGTTGGGATGTTTTTCTTTTTTTTCAATGTAGTTCATCACTTCTATTGCACGTGAACTTAAAAAATCAGACTTACTAGTGCCAAATCCAAAAGGAATAGAGATTTTTGGGAAAACAGTACTCAAGATGATAGAGATAACTTTTTCCAGTTTAAAAGACAATCTAAATTACTATGCAAATATACATCTAATCATATTATTTATGTAACTAAATAGAGATATATGCTGTAGGATGAATAATATTCCACAATTGTGACACTCAGCTGATAATTCTATTATTCTCTGAAACTTTCTTCTCCCAAGCCTCCAGGCAGTGTTCTGTTCTCATGCCCAGCCTGATCAAACCCCAGGACACTTAACAAATGTGAACTGTACAGTCTGAGCTAGTGCTCTTCCCTCAATCTAGCACCATGCCCAACAATCCCTGTCCTGAACAAATGGTTCCTTATCCTCAAACCCACATTCACTACAGACTGTGTATTCAGGGCAAATTCAAACAACAACTGTGGTCACCTTGGGTTGCCCGAGAGTGAGCACCAAGTAACTCAAAGGACAAGGACACAAAGTGTGTATCTCTGTGGAAAAAGCAGTAACTTCCAGAACTTCTGCCAGGCTTGCAAGCATTATTCACCTGACTGCACTCACACACTGCCAAACCCAGCCCCTGAGCACACTCATGGTCATCAGCACCTGCTGCACTCCATTCACCCTCTCACATCCACCCACCCTTCACCCAGTATACTCCTGGGGTAGGACACATCTTTTGAAAATGTTTTTAGTTTCTTTCACTTGAAAAATGAAAAAATAGTTAGAATTTTAAAAAGAGGAGAGTATACTTTTACTTTTACAACATAGAAAAAGCATGACAATTTTTTTTTGCATATGTATTCCTTTCATAAGGCTTCAGA